TTACCTGTTCATGTGTTTACCTGGTGACTTCATTACTTGGTGATGTGTTTACTTGGTGAATAGTTACATCGTGAAAGATTTAACAGATGACGTCTTCACCTTCTGACATGTTTCTCTTTTGATGCATTTACCTGGTCACGTGTTTACTTGTGTATATTGTTACCTGTTTAAGTGTTTACCTGTATTCCTGGTTACCTGGTAAGGAAGCAGAGGGCTTTGGGCAGTGAGTGGAGGCTGTTTCCTTCCAGGATCAGGATCTTTAGTTCCACCAGAGCCTGGATATTTTCAGCCAGGTTCTCCAGGAGGTTACAAGAAAGATCCAGAAAAACCTGCAGGAACCAAAAAGAGCAGAAGTTTGGATAAAGGTTTAATGCAAGTGATATTTGTTGTTTGCTTTCCACCCTGGACAGACCAGAGTCTTCAGGCTGTAGACACAGGTGGGGATGTGAGTGATGAGGTTGTTACTGAGGTTGAGCTTCTTCAGTCTGGTCAGGTTGGAGAGAGAAGTCGGCAGAGAAGACATCTGGTTGTTGGCCAAACTCAGCACCTTTAAAAGACAACAGCTGCAGGAGACCGTGGTGGATCTCTGAGGGTGAACAAGCCAGGATCATCAGAGACAGGAGAACTTTACCTCCAGCTGTGTGCAGTCCCCGAGCTCCTCGGGAACTTCAGTCAGCATGTTTCTGTAGGCGAATAAAACTCGAAGTCTCTTGAGCTGTCCGATTTCTGCCGGCAGGCTGCCCAGCTGCAAACAGCAAGACAAGACATTAAAGCAGACCCTGAGCATTGTACGGCCCCAGGGCCACACACGGCCCTTTGGTTGACTCTGACCGGCCCCCGTAAGGGGAGTTACAAAAAAAACCATCCATCCATCCATTATCTTTAACCCGCTTCTTCCATTTTGGGTCACGGGCAAAAAAACATATTCCCTAATTTTCCCTCGTGTGTGTGGACTAAAGCTGCATTGCTTTTATTTTGAAGGGTTTTTTATTCACGTACAAAATGATGCAATACGTAAATCAAGACATGCGCAATGTGCATGATTGAATTGTCACGCGCAGGTCACAAGACTATGTTAGCCATCAAAAATGTCCACTCGTAAAAAAACAGTAGATGCTGAGTGGAGGGTTTTCAACAAAAGATGGACTGCTCAATATTAATTTAGTGAAGTTGGAGGTAGAGCTGTGCGTTTAGTTTGTGGAGAGCAGACGGCTGGTTTAAGGATTACAGTTGGAGTCGACATTATGACACAAAACACGCAGAGAAATACAAAAACTTGACTGATGCTGAAAGGGTGCAGACATCTGAAGCTTTGCTAAGCTACAAAAATTCAGCAAGGCTGTTTTACCAAGCTTCACACATCCAGGGGTGCAGCAACCGAGACGAATTTTGTGATATCCCACAAAATAACTGAAAACAGCAGGGGGGGGGATGTCAGAGTGCGTGGTGGACTCTGCAGCACTAATATGCCTGGAAATAAAGAAGCATTTCAGCAAGTCCCTCTGTCCAGGAGAACCATGACGAGAAGGATCGAGGACATTGCTGGGAATCTGGAGCTTGAGCTGCAACGTGACGTGGCAGGTTTGGACTTTTTCTTCTTGGCTTTGGACGAGAGTCGTGACGTCTGAGACACAGCCCAGTTACTCGTATTTATCCGTGGAATAACAGACTTCAGGATGTTGGAGGAGCTGGCTGCAATGAAAGGGACGACGACCGGAAACGATCTGCTCAGAGGTAAATGGACACGCTGGGACTGAAACGGGACAGACTGGCAGGTGTCACAGAGGACGGTTGTCCAAATCTTAAGGGAAAAATGTTGGACTTTTGAAATGTATGTAAGAAAAAGTGACTGAAATCAACGCAGATCAGAAATGAATATTTTTTCATTTAATTATACACCAACATGTGTTGTACAAGGCAGTGCTAAAAATTAACCATGTTATTGGTGTTGTAACTAAAACAGTAAACTTGATCAGGGCACGAGCGCTGTATCACATGCACTTTTAGAGGAGCATGAAACTGAGCGGTGACATCACACAGCTGTCAGATGGCTCAGCCTGGGCAAAGTGATAGTTTGGTACCTGGCTGCAGAGATTCAAGAGTTCTGTGAGAAGAAAAAGCAAGACATCCCAGAGCTCTCAGATGAGGACCAGATGGCAGGTTTTTCATTTGCTGTTCATGTGACTGCACTGATGAATGAACTGAACACCAAACTGCAAGGCAAGGGTCTTTCTGTTCATGAACTGCACAGCCTGGTGAAGGCTTTCATGAGAAAGGTGCAGTTTCTTTCAAGCCAACTGGAGAGGAACACTCACATGCAAGCCCTGAAAGAACTATACCATCAGCAGATCACCTCCACAGGTACTCCTCAGTAACTTGATGACTAATAATTTAATAACTTATCATGCACTGCATGGTGAGTTATCAAAGTGATTTGAAGATCTCAGAAGAATTGAAGATGATTAAAATGCATGATTTCCTCTCCTTTTAGCTGCAGTGTTGATGATGCACCCAGTGATGTTCAGCTGGAACTCTTGGACCTGCAGTCTCATTAAGTGTAGAACCACTAGACTGAGGAACAGCTTCTACCCTGAGGCTGTTAGACTCATGAATCTCTAACTAGAATAATCACTGTGAAAAACCATATCATGTTGCTGCTGATCTGTTTCATGTTGCTGCTGATCTGTTTCAATGTTGATGTGTTCATGCGTGCACATCTGCTCACAGACTCATGTTCATGTTTGTGCTGATGTTCAATGTTTTATGTTATGAGTGCTTAGTGTATATTTAGTTGATGTTTTTCTTAGTTCATATCTTAGATGTTATTACTGTTTTTCTTATACATTTTATTGTTGGATGTAACTGGGACCCTGTGTACATAATTTCGCTCCACCACATGTACCACATGAGGTGCGAATGACAATAAAGAAACTCTGACTCTGACTCACGTGGTACGAGCAGAACACTTTAAGTCAAAATCGCTGCTAGATTTCTACTCTCGAGGAGGAGAACTTTCCAAACATGAGGAGACATGCTCAGAAGATGTTGGTTCTTTTTGGCTCTAACATATGTGAAGAAACATTCTCAGTGATGAAGTTTACCAAATGCAGGTGTAGCTCCTCTTTCACTGATGATCATCTGTCAGCTTTGCCTCTCCACCTCAGACATTCAACCTGACTTTAATGCTCTCATTAAAGTCCAACAGAGACTAGATTTCTCTCACTAAACAAGAAAAAAGAACTGAAAAACATCAAATGATGTGGTTAGACTACAAATGTAAAGGCACCAACTAGTGAACGAGGACTCAAAATCACAGTTCAGTGATGATCACTATTATATGATGTTTCGTAATATTTGAAGTACAAAGACAACATTTTGATGTCTTTAGAAAACTAAGAACTCTTTCCAACAGTAAATGAAACTCATTGTGTTTTGGGTGAATGTGACTGAAAATAATAATTAATAAACTCAGTCACAAATGGTAAAACATTCAGTTTACCATTGTACTGGGAAATTTAATTGAATAAATGACATTTTGTGTAAGACAACCTCACTTTTTCTTTGCTTAATCATAACTAATACTCTTACCAGTCTTACCAGCTTGTCTAAACAATATTTACTGGTTTTAAGAAAGAAGTACTATTAATATTATGCAGTATTGAGTTATGTCATTTGGCCCAGCCCTCCACAATGTTTTCTGTTTCTCATGTGGCCCCATGAAAAAAATAATTGCCCACCCCTGCATTAAAGGATTCACACATGAGAACCTCAGAACTTTTTTTTTACCTTTGTTTGACCAGGAAGAAATCCACTGAGATTATTAATCTCTCTTACAAGGATGTCCTGGGCAGACCTGTTCATACAGAACCAGAGAAACAAACAAAATGTTAAAGAGCTGAACCCCAACCTGAGGCTAACTTGATCACTTTTCATTTGTTCTGAACGTGGAGGAGCTCAGGCTTCGATCAGAGCTTCTGTCGACAGCTGAAACAAACATCTGAAATCTCACAGGGTAGAGCAAAACTTCTTAACATTTATAATCTATAATATAATCTTATAATCTAGCTGGGGATTTTTTTTTTTTTGCTACTTTTTTCCTTTTGACTGTCCTTTTGGTTGCCATTTTATTTGTAAAAAAAAAAAATCTGTATTCCTCTTTTATAACTGTCTATTATTGTCATGACTGTTTAAAACCAGGTGTCCGTAAAAGAGTCCTCGAGGCTCAGTGGGACTAACCTGTAGAAATAATGGTCGAATGAATGAATTTAAGGTGTTCCTGTTGGATCTGGACTCTAGGGGGTGTAGGAGGTTCCTGGGATTCCTGTTTGTGTCTGAGTCCAGCTGAAGGTTGAAGGACAGAAATCGGATCCAGGTGGACTCCAGAAGGATTAGAACCGGGTTTTGACCAAATAAGATTTGATTCGCCGACTTGCTCATGGGACATTGAACTTGTACCTGAGACTCTGCTTCAGCGTTTCATTTCTGTCTTTGGTGCTTCCACCAGAAAAATTCATCTGAAAATTTTCAGTGTTGAGAACAAAACAGAACACGCCTGTCATTTCCATCAACACTAAAACTGAACATCTGGAGCCCAGAGCAAACCTTCAGAAACATGACAGATCATTTACAGAGGAGTCGAAGAAGATCAAGAAACCGACGTCCTGATGAAGACGAGCCAAACCTGAACCCTCTGAAAAACAGACCAAATGTCAAATCAAACCGTTGCAACCTGCTGACGGGAACCAGCAACCCAGTTTGGTTCTGGTTGATAGGTGTCCTTCACTTTGACCATCTTCAGCCTCTACACTAGTTTTATTCGGAAGGAAACCAAAGATACTGATATGTGACCCGACATGAAGTGGGAAAACAGGAAGTGAAAAGAGAGGTGTGTTCACCTGGTTACCCCACAAGTTGAGGACCACCAAGTTGGAGAGGTGGGCTAATTGCGAAGGCAGAACCTTCAGACCGTTGAGGGACAGATTCAGCTTCTCTAGCTCCAGCAGCTCCCACAGTTCTTCTGGGACCTCCTGCAAAGGAAACAAAAATCCACAGAGGAGTGAGAAGTTCAGCCTGAAGACCACCAGAGAGTTGTCTACCTAAGAGTCTGATTGTTCTATCTGCTCCTGGAGAAATAGGCTGGGTTTCACCGTACCTTCAGTCCACGGCGAGCCAGGCTCAGAACGTTGTACCCAAACTGTCTGACGGTGAATCTTCGAATTCTGTCGGCTGACGTCAGACTCTCCTCCTTCCCCATGCTCCTCCTCTGCTCCTCCTTCACCTCCTCCCGACACACCCTGCCCCCCATCTCCTCCTCAGACAGATGCTCACACTAGGACCTGGACTGATGTCAGACCATCTAGGTTCTCCATCAGTGACAGCCACCGTACATTCCTCCTGAACTCACATCTGGATGACTGTACTGTGGAGTAGTATCTGAGTTTCTCTGGGTGTTCTCTTGTATGTTCCTTGTTGTAGGTTCCAGTAGAACAGTGTTCTGTCCAGATGTTGTAGGTTCCAGTAGAACAGTGTTCTGTCCAGATGTTGTAGGTTCCAGTATAACCAGTTTGTCCAGATGTTGTAAGTTCTAGTGTTCTGTCCAGATGTTGTAGGTTTCAGAAGAAACTCTGTTCTGTCCAGATGTTGCAGGTTCCAGTAGAACTGTTATGTCCAAATGTTGTAGGTTCCAGTAGAACTGTGTTCTGTTCAGATGTTGTAGGTTCCAGTAAACTGTGTTCTGTCCAGATGTTGTAAGTTCTAGTGGAACTGTGTTCTGTCCAGATTTTGTAGGTTCTAGTGGA